TCACAAGCTAACTTTTTTTTAAAGGCACTTGAACATTTCTACATGCTCCTAATGCACACACCTCCCTTACTCATGTATGTCCCCTGTCTTGGAATTATAGACTCCACTTTAAACATAGGATTTTTTTTTTCATATTATTTTCTACACTGGCTTTTAATATGATGTGCAGCGTAAATATTATTTCCCCAAAATGATGGCATTCCTCATGTATCCATATAAAAGTTCTAGTTCTGTAGTTATTTAATAACAAGAGGTACTACTTATTTCCTCATAGTCCCAGCAGGTTTTCTGGCAAAAGATGTTTCTCCAGTCACAGAATCATCATAAAATAACAGTAGATGCCATTTCAGTCTAAAATCAAATACAAGTTTTTAGTATTTATTCTACATAGATATAAATTATTTCCTCTATTACACCAATACAGATCTGTGTGAGGTGAATTTGATGTACAATTGGAAACTGACAATAAAGGGGTTTTTTTCCACAAAGTATGCAACTGGTGCAACTCACTCTGTTGTTTAGGATTAGGTAAAAAATATGGAGCTAAGTTTCCTTTGGCAGACTCTGTGCTGAATCAGGCATACACTTTTCATGAACCATAATGCTGGTGTAAACACATGTCATGTCATATGTCACAAACATATGTCAGTTTACTCACAGGTAAACTTTTTAGGATAAACCTCTATTCCCAGTTGTGCATGAGAATGTAAAGAGAGAACACACTGACGAAAAAAAGTGTGCATTTTTGTATCTTAGTCTACATTGCTAGACTTAGTTCTGAGTGGGTTTTTTTTATTACCAGCTATACCCAAAAGATCAAAGTTCCACCTCCCCACAATACGCTGTTTTCAACAAACACCCCAGAATGTCTTTAGAAATTCTGCCTGTGTAAGCTCCTCTGAGCACTGTGGGTAGCCTGCACCACACAGCCAGTGGTGCATGGCTAGGGACATAGCAAGGAGAGGGAAGCTGAAATGGAAGGAAGGATCCTGGGTGCTGTAGGGTCTATTTCAATCCTCATCATGTCATCTGCAAGGACAGCATCTCTGGGTGACTTGAACTCGTTTTTAGACAGCTTCATGGAGCAGCAGACATTGGGGGTTCTCTGCTCTGTGTCCCCCTCTTGAGCCTGGTGTTTTCTTTACAATGCTTAGGGAAAAAAGGAAGAATATAACCTTCTCCTTAAGACTCTCCCATCCTCCAACTGTTTTCAGCTCCGTGGATTTCCTGAGCCTGTTATGAAGTCTTTGTTCACTTCCCCCAGCTTCCTAATTAAATGCCTTGCTGAGATTTTTACTGCAAAGAAAACTGTGTTGCTAAACTTCGTTCTGATGAAAAATTTACACTAATTTTCTGCATTAATACTTCTGTGATCACAACACAGCAGACCTGCCTCCCAGGAATCACATTCAAATCATTTTTGTTTCAGTGCAAATAGGAGCGTAGTACACAGTGAAGTGGGTTGGCACCACCAGCAAGACAGCTATCTTACAAAGCCAGATAAAGACTTGAGCTTATAGTGGGTGGGTTTGGTTCAGCCAGCAAGATGGTAAAAAGTCCTGGAGAAGGCAGAGATGTGCATTCATCAGCCTGGCACAAGTGCTGTGATGGAGAGGACACAACATTCTCTACTCTCCTAAGGGCAGCATTCAATGGATAATTTCATGGTACCAAGCCCAGTACCTGGAACCCACCAGCAATTATGTACTTGTTCACCTACAGGTTTGACCGTTGTACCACTGAAGCAAGAGAATGGCAGAAGATCGTGGCAAGAATAAAAAGCCATGTACACAGAGGATTGTGTTCTCCAGTAGTAGAACTGAAAATAGAATGATCTTTTGTAAAGGAGGATGGGAAGAGTAGCATTTAAAAGGAACATGGAGGCAGTGTTGGTCTTCTCACACCTGGAAAGTGTAGTGGACATACCTGGGGGAACATGTAACAGTCAGGACAGAGGGTATTCATGTCCCAGCCTCCAACTGTGGTCAGCTGAGGGATTTCCCAAGTCATGGTTTGTGTGCCTACAACCTGCAAAGGATTTCTTTCCCATTAACCTGCCTGGTATCTCCTTTGATTCATGGCAGTAGATTACATTCTTGGTCTGGACGATGCTAATTCTGTGCTTCTTGTTTATGCAGCTTCTTCTCCCCTCTCCAAGTCCCTTTCCAAGGGAAGCAGTGCCTACAAACCGCCTGTTTACACAGAGGTGCAGCACCACCGGTAAATGCACACAGCACAAATGCAGACCGATGTATTCCTACGGCAAGTACTTTCTACTCGGAAGGAAGTAACTTTATAATGTATTCTTTCTAACACTGACGCAGTGGTGCGTTTTCTCTCCCCACAACCACGTAAGCAAGCAGGCGTCTTGAACCCTGAGCACGAACCTTTTGGACCAGCAGATGGTTTCCCCAGCCGAGCCCCTGCAGGCGGAGAGGTGCCGCTCCTGCCCCGGAGCCGCGGCCCCTGCCCGCCCCTGCCCGGGCCCTTCCCGGCCGGCCGGGCGGGAGGAAACGCGGCCTCGCACCGCCCCCCGCCCTCGCCCCGGGGAAGGGGGGCTGCGGACGGCCCCGAGCCCGCTTTTTGTTGGAACAAACATTTCCCCGTGCCGACGAGGGAACTCGCCGCGGCCGGGGCTGGGGGAGGGGGGATTTCCTTCCCATTGTCTGCCGGGCTCGGCGCTGCCGGACCCCGCTGCCAGTGAAAGTGAATGGCCGGAGGGACCCGCCGCAGGGCTCGTGTTAGAGACCCAACTGCGGCGGGAGGCGGGCTGGCCCAGGGCTTCAAAGCTCTGCACTGACGAGCATTAAAAGTCTTCACAATGCACATACAAATAAGTCAAAACGAGACAAAAATGCTTCCTTTTAATCCATCCTGAAGGCTATATAATGCAAACAGCTACTCGGTGAGCCTAATGAGGATATCAAAACACCCCAAAACCACCCATTTATAAGATCTATGCCTGTCTTTCTACACTTAATTTACTGCCCCCCAGCTCAGAGAAGGTAACGTGGCTGTGGTTGCAGACACTCCCTATCATGTTTGCTTTAGGATACCTTGTTCTTTCTAAAATCAAATATTTGTATCCTGAAACAAATATTTGGAGGTGGTCCAGACTAGCCTTTATAAATATGTTAAGTACAGGAGATTGTTGGCAAGAGGTAGACTCCAGGTAAAAACCTGTACGGTAGGCAAGCCATAAGGCTTCTGCCCTCCATGTGCTTTCGTGCTGGTGAAACTGTGGCCTAAGTATTTATTTGACAGTTCTCCATGGGTCCTGTGAGAGATAAAAGGCTAAAACCTCTTTATCCTGAAGATAGCTGAACTTCTGCCTTAAATAAATATTTACATAGGTAAGGAGAAGGCACTGCGGCAGAGCAATAAATCTTTCACTAGAGAAGCTGAGACTGGCTTTGGAGCTTTGTTTTGGAGGTGTGGCAAATCCCCCCCCAGCCAACCCAGGTTGTTGGGGACGTCTGGCTTTTTGGGGTGAAGAATTAAAAATGGTTATGTGACTGCTAGCTATGTTTGTCCTCTGATTCTGGATGCCATAACCATGTCAGCTTGAGCAGAACTGTTGGCTTGACTGCATGGTAGAAACAGCAGAAACTGTAATGACCCCAAATTCTTCTTTTCCCCCCTGTGTATAAATATAGCTCAGATGCAATTTGAACAGAGAAGGTTTCAAAGAAAGCTAGGACAGGCAAGCCAGTAATATCCCATGGAAACTTGGCATGTATTTCTATCAAACTTTTTTTGAAAATGACATGCCTTAACAAAATCACAGCCAAACATCACAAATACATGCTTAACATAAAGTAATCTTTTTATAATTATATTGATGGTAAATCCCTTTTTACTTAAAAAATTGCTCGTAAATTTCATTTGCTTTTTTATTAATACAAGCAATATAATGCAGTTTATAAATTATAGTACTATTGGGTATCTGCCCAATGCCTCAAGCACTCTTTGAGAGCAGATTACCAGCACTTTCTTTCATATCTATTTATTTTAGATAATGTAAAACATTCTTTCATATTTAAATGTATAGTAGAAGTAAGACTTTATCACAGCTGTGCAACTAACCATTATTTTCATTTTATTTTTGAAGTGGATGTAATGTCCTGATGCAGGAGTCTCAAAGAAACTGGTTTTAGACACTACTAGAAATCTTATTTACTGGACACGCTGGAGAAACTTCCACTGTTCAGTGTGCAAACTGTTTAATCTTTGACTGACCAGGCACAATGGATGCTTCTTTTTCAACATTAGCACTACTATTTCCTTCTACTATTTCAGTAATATTAATGACTACTCATATGACTAATTTTTTTTGCATGCATAAATGTTTACAGAACTAAGCTTCCAGTATATTTTAATAAAAGTAAAATTCTAGTAAAGTTAGTTAATTGTGAAGTGCTACTTACTCATTTAATAATTCCTGAAGAATTTCAGAAACTTTAGAATATATTTCCATAGACATTTATTAATATTTATCTCACAGTCCATTAAAAAAAATAAAATATACGTTTCCTTGCTACTTACATATATAAATATATATATGTTCCTATAAAGTTATGTATTTTGTATTAATATGTATTTCCTTACCCTGAAGTGCAAGTATGGCTAACAGTTGGGCTCAGTGATCATAAAGGTCTTTTCCAATTTAAATTATTCTGTGCTTCTGTGATCTACAGCTCATGACATATTGACAATTCTGAGACAGACCGTTGATTCTCTGTGTTTTAGTTTCTGTTGCTCAAGGTGAGTATCTATTTTCAAAAACATTATCTGTCATTTCTTCAAATTGGACTTCATGATAGGAGGAATTTTCACGTATCAAGGCTGGATAAGCACCCTATTTTCCCTCTGCAACAAGAGAGGGTCCAGACCTAAGAGTGTGACAAAATACATACATAATAAATAGTTAAAGATCCGTTTCAAATGTATTATTAAAAAAAATAATAAAAGAAACAAACAGCAACTCCAGCAGAGACCACTAGAGTTCTCCTTCTCCCAAATATCCCTAGCACCATCCTAAACCCTGTTTACCCCAGAAACCTGAACTGTGGACAGACAGAAGAGGAGAGAGAGAGAGAAAATTCAGACACAATAAAACTCTGAGGGGAAAAATATGTGGAAGGAGGAGGCAGCAGCGGCCTGGGGAAGGGATTGAAAAGTTTCCCCTGGCTTAACTTCTCCCCCCCTGCAGCAGCAGAAGCAGCGCCAGCAGCACAAGGTGAGAGAGACTTTTAAGTCTGGGGAGGAGGGGTGTGTGCGGGAGGGGGGGTGAATTTACAGCCCCGTGGATATTTCTGTGTCTGCCTCCCTGGCTTTGGGGTGCGAGAGACGCCGTGTCTCATGCTGGGTGGATTTTTTTTTTTTTTAATATGATGGAGGATTATAAACATGGCGCCTTAAAAAAACTACAAAATCATGTACACACTGTTCCAAGGAGATGGGGGAGAGGGGACAGGGGAAGGGCTGGGCACCAGGGGAGGGGGCAATCCTTCCCCGCGGGGTGCCGTATGAGGAGGGGGAGCAATTATACTTAATAATAAAATCTGTGGGGCTGCGGGGGGGAGATGGAAGGCGGGATTTTTTTATTATTATTATTATTTCATTTTTCGGAGTGGGCAGGATTATCTGGCAGCCCGCTTGGAAACCGAGGAGGAGAAGGGGACGGCGGCGGAGCGCGTGTGATTATTAACGGCGATTATTTTTGTCCCCACACCTTCCCCGGTCGAATTTCGGCTGGGAGGCGGCGGCGGGTCCCCCGCGCCCCCGTGCCGAGTTGCAGCCAGCCCGGGGGCCGGGGCGGGAGGAGGTGGGGTGGGGAGAGGGGCGCTCCGGAGAGAATCGCCGCTTCCAGCGCTCCGCGCGGGCCTGCAGGGCGCGGGGGAGCCGGGGCCTCGCGTGAGAGGCGAGGCCGGGCAGGGTGTGGTGCAGCCCGGCCTCAGCCCCGTCACTCCCCGGCCCCGCTCTCTCTCCCGCACGCGGGGCCACCGCTTTGCTCCCCACTGTCCCCCGCTCTCCTTTCGCTCACACACCCCCGCGGCCGCCGCATTTCCTCGCTGGGGAGGGGGATGCCTCCTTGGAGGACGGGTCTTGGCCCGAGTAATGGCAGCTGCTCGACAGCGCCGAGGCTCCACAGGAGAGAGAGACGGCGGGGCCCCCGCAGGCCGGGCGAGGGGCCATGGCTGCCGTGCCCGCGGGGGGCAGGGGAGGGGACGGCGAGAGGGCGAACTCAGAGCCGCAGCCCTCCTCCGCCGGCGGCTGCGGGCGGTGCCACTCCCGCGGCCGGGACGGCCTCGCCGTCCAGCGGGGCAGTGGGGCACGGCATCGCCTTGGCCCCCGGCACAGCCCCGGGGGCTTCCTCGCCTCTCCCGAGTGCTCTGCGGCAGGGCCTGGGGGGTAAAGGGGCGATTTCTCCGCTGTCCCCCCACCCGGTTCCCCGCGGCCTCCGGGGCAGCACCGGGAAGGGCCCTCCCGGGGCTGTGCGGGACTCGGCGGGCCGGGCAGTGCGAACTGGCGGCGGGCTCGCTTTTGTTTGCTTCTGGGCATCTTTGTATGTGTGCACCCCCGAAGCCGTGTCTGCAGATAACTGCCCTCGGTGCACTCTGTGGGTGTTCGCCTTTACCCTCTCCCTCGGGGCCGCTCAGAGGCCTGGCTCCTTTTTTTTCGGGGAAAGGATGGAAGTGTAGGTGTGGGAGTGCCCGTGGTAAGGATCATGGGGAGCTTCCGTGCGCTTTCCTGACCTTCCGTGTGTTCCAGACAACAGCCCCCCTATAAAATGCTGATGTTAAGGATTTGGGAAACTTCGTGTGTCTTTTGGGGCTTATCCGGAAACCAGCAGGCTTTGGGAATTTGCTTTTGGTCTTCTGTGAACTTTACAGAGGCTAGAGATGGGGTGGTTTGAGAAGAGATAAAGGAGTGAAAAAACTTTAATTTGATGCTGTTTGGTTTTATAATTTAACCTGGAATAATCTGGCATGGTCTCTGTATTGTTGAAATAATTCTGTTCATTGTAGTTTTAAGAAGATCTTGTTGCAGTAGAAAAGAAAAAGAGTGGAAATACTTTCTTGTCCTACTTAATGCTGGTATTTTTTCTTTTCTCCTGCTTTTGTAGGAAGTAGTTTAATTCTTTAGGGGTGAATGCTGAGGCAGGTGTGAAGAGGGGGAAAATGTGAGGGGAAATGCCAGTTTGTGGTTCAGGTTGCACCCCTTTGGGTTTTTCAAGTTCCTCATCCTTCAGTATGAAGGACCTGGCATCTCTCCTTTTATTTTATTTTTTTTTTTAATTATCAACCACTCTTGAGTGTGCTACAGAAAGTCTTTAGGGAAGTCGACTGTTTGCTGACTAATGTTTTGTATAAAAGTGGAAGTGCCCACAAAATAATTTCCACTTTTATGGGATTTATGGCATTAATTAATTCCCACTATGGATTTATGGCCTTAAAATGCCAGCTTTTCCATGCCTAAACAAACCCTCTCTGCTTTGACCAGATAGTTGCATGGGGAAGGGAGGGAAGGGAATACTTCATGGGGTAAGTGTTTCAACAGAGAGCACTTTCTCTTGCTGATGGTGTTTGGCTTTAGTGAGTGAGGAAAAAAGTGACTGTGTTGATGGCTCTGTTGGTTGTGCTATAGGTCTCTGCAACTAATACTCAGTATCAGGTTCAGTAGCAAAGGTGTGACTGAGAAAAATTACTCTTCCTCTCCACCTCATAAACTGGATAATGTGACAGAAATTGTCTTGCGTTGAAGTCAACTTTGTCAGGGGAGTTGTGAGTCTGTGAATGTTGGCAGGGGGATCTTAAAACTTTGGTGATGTGATAGAAGATACTCTTCAACAATTTGAAGGTTTGTAGCAAAAATTTAATGGGTAGTTCATCTCTGAAGTTCTTGTTTGCTTTGTTTTTTAAATCTAAGCAAACACTTGGCAGCTATTAAATATAAATGTAAAAAAACAAATTGAGTTTGTTCACCAGAAACCAAAATAGTCCTTAATAGTTTCACGTAGTCCTTCTGTAGTATGAGGCAGAGCAATTCTTCATAACTTTTCAGGAAAAAAATGAGCACTATTGGAGTGACAAGAATTACATTAGTGGAATTGCTGTGCACACAAGGTAGTAGTGTAGAAGTTTGTGTGTTATGTGTCCTTACTGTTTGCAGGCAGTAGGAATTCTGTGGGCGTCTGCTGTTCAAGTGTCCTGGGATTCCCCTGCCTTGGAGCAGAGAGGAGAAGGGACTGTTCAGCATGACCTGAGGCTTCTGCAGCAGAAGAGCCTGGGTTGTGTTTTTGGCCTAAGGTCATCTCAAAAGCAAGTGAGATGGTGAAAGGCTGTGAAGTGTGCTTGGTATTTCTGCCTGCAGGTAAATAGAACATACTGGGTGCTGTTAGTGATGTGGTCTCCCTGAGCAGATGGACCATGAATCTGGCCTCAAACTCACCTTGAAGTGGCTCAGGCTCCATCTAGACTGTTGTGCATTTCTACCAGTGCACCACAGCTTGGGGACCACTGAACTGTGCCGTCTGCAGTCACTGGGTTAGAATAAAATACCTCAAAAGGAAATAGATAAAAGATAACATTGAAAGTGTGTTCTCAAATTTAGGCATCTAAACATCTCTGTAGATGCCTGCATTATCTAGTTAGCTACCAAATGTTTCATTTCACACAGTTTGAGAATGAGGGGGAATTTTAGAATTAGGAGAAATGTTTTGAAATTGAGTACCCAATTTCAGTCAGCTAAAGTTCACAAATTTTGCACATACCTGTAACTAATTTTCGTAGTAACTGCCTTCCACACTCTTTAAGAGCATTTATCTCTGGAAGTGTGTGAAGATTTCGGACAGTGTGAATCAGTCCTGGCTAAAAGGTCTGAAAAAGGGGCAAGGTTATGATGAAGATGTCTTCAGGAATTTTTTTATTTGCTTCTTAAATGACTTTTTAGCTAGATCAGATTCGCATAAATGTCAGTAAACGATGTCTTTTACCCATAATGCAGGTTGTCACAAATGCTAACTGGAACTGTAAAGAAAATTAATCTGTGCAAGGTATATGTGCCTCACTCCAGTGATTAACTTGGTTTGTAAAATGTGGAATTGTTTAAAATTACCGACGAAATGCACACAAGATTGTACTTTCCTGAAGGAAGCAGAGTTTGGAGATTTTTTTCAAAAGCTAGGTCAGAATTGTTGGAGCAATTATTTTTCTTATATTTATCCGGCAAATATATAAATTGGTTAAAAATCCTGACCACTGATTTTATTAATTGCAGTGGTTTTCCTTCCATATAATAGGACTTTGTTTAGCCATCCTTCTTGCGCTGATTGTTTAGGAGGTAATGTAGGATCATGTTCTTTATCTGCAGAGGGTTTTATGCCTTGGTTTTTGTTGGGTTTGTTCAGTCTCAGGATGTGGTGAACGCTCCCACATTATGTGTGTAGTACCTGGAGCATGGTGCCCTTGGTAGCTGGGCAGTGCAGCAGCATATGTCATCTTTTATATAGCTCATACATTTTAGGCTGTCAGTGTTGCTTGTGCTAAACATTGCGAACAAAGATTATTCTTGTCAGGTTCTGGATCATTTTTCATCAGTTGAATGTAAATTTAGCTCATAATTGGGTTATTGTTCTAAGGTTTAATCTTCCAGTCGCGAGAGTACAGCCTGCAAAGTAGGTAGTTTATAAGGTGACGTAATGACTCAATTTTTCAGAAATGTCTTTATTTGTTATTACTGAGAGCATATGAAATACAAAACAAATGTGGAAACCTCCACAAACTCCTTCATTTCTGGGTATAGAGGAGGTAACCAGTGGACACCAGGGTGGCTGTGTACAGTACAATAAACACTGTGGCCTCAAGCCTGCACAGGTGAACTCCTGTGGCACATGGGGTTGTCTGGTTTCCAAGGCCTCTCCACATGCAGCTCCCAGGAGCACCATGGCTGGATTGAGCCCATTTTTTTCACCATATTTTCAGTTGTAGTATTTAAACATAATTTTATCATGTCTTTAAACCCATCTCTGCCAGCAAGTAAATTGTGTAAGCCTGAACTCTGTATTTTGATTTATTTTTATCATGCTGTGATTATATGGGGGTAAAAAAGGGGGAGGGGGTAAACCTAGCATTTTAGTAATATTTCATTCATATTTATTTCTTCTCTTTTTTTTTGTCCCTGAAATGACCAGGATCTTTTAGTCCTGTGGGCAGGATACAACAGGCACAGTGGTGA